TATACACCCGAAGGTAGCTGCACATACACCCGAAGGTAGCTGCACATACACCCGAAGGTAGCTGCATATACACCCGAAGGTAGCTGCACATACACCCGAAGGTAGCTGCACATACACCCGAAGTAGGCTGCACATACACCCGAAGTAGGCTGCATATACACCCGAAGCTAGCTGCACATACACCCGAAGTAGGCTGCATGCTGCCTTACCGGTCCATAGAGAGGAATTCTTTCTTTATAAATAACTGCGACTTCTTTAAAGAACGACCGCACTATGGCTACGCACAACCACTTCACCATGAAGTACATTTTCTGCTCGTTTCTCCTTCGCTCTCAACACTTTACAAATGCTGCACGCAAATAAACAACTCAATAATACTCAAACGCTAAAAGAACTGCATCTCCATGCACACAAATCCAACAGATCTACACCTGTACATACACCCCAAATAAGCTGCATATACACCCCAAATCAGCTGCACATACACCCCAAATCAGCTGCATATACACCCCAAATAAGCTGCATATACACCCCAAATATGCTGCACGTACACCCCAAATCAGCTGCATATACACCCTGGCTATGAAGACTTACAAGAAACGACGAAGAGTCGCAACGCACCCAAGCAGGTGCTGTTAAACAATTTAAAAGATGCAGCCCTAAGACTTCATGCTGTCTGCTGCTGCTGCGACGGCTGCTGCTACGGTTGCTGCTACGGTTGCTGCTACTGCTGCTGCTATTGCTGCTGCTACTGCTGCAGCTACTGCTGCTGCTCCTGCTGCCCCCCGTGGTCCAGCTGCGGCTGTTGCTGCTGCTTTTGCGGTTGCTGTTGCAGCTGATGTTGTGGCTTGTGCAGCCGCCTCCAGTCGTGACTGCTACGGCTGCTGCTGCTGCTGCTGCTGCTGTTGCTGTTGTTGCTGCTGCTGCTGCTGTTGTTGTTGCTACTGCTGCTGTTGCTGCTGCTGCTGTGGTTTCGGCTGCCGCTGTTGCTGCAGTCGCTGCTGCTGCTTTGGCCGCAGTTACTGCTGCCACTTTTCTGCGGTTGCTGCTGCTGCTTCTGCTGCAGTCGTTGCTGCTGCCTTTGCTGCAGTTGCTGTTGTTGTTGCTGTTGCTGCTGCTGCTGCGGATCAGAGCTGCCTCTGCGGCGAGCTGTATCTGTTGCTGATGTGTTTGACTACCCTGTTTCTGTCGCGGGTTTACTTTGCCGCAGGGACACTTGGGGACAGTAATCTGCTGTTGCTGCTGTTGCTGCTGCTGCTGCTGCTGCGCTTGCTGCTCTGCTGCCGCCTTATTGCTGGCTGAGGAGAGGCCAGCTGATGTACACCAAACAAATGTGTTTGCTGCAGCCGAGTTTCTTATTACAATATTCAAAAGAGAAGCAGTTGCTGCTGCAGACCCCTACTAAGCATGAAGCAGCAGCAGCAGCAGCAGCAACACCAGCAACAGCTGCTGCTGCTGCCTTGGAAGCGTGTCTTATTTGAAAGGGGGTTAATTCACCGTTGTTAGTTTTGTTTATACATTTATTTCTGTCAGAAATTGAATAAACACTGACGGAAACCAGTGCTAATCTTCGGTGTACGTACACCTCAAACCCTAAACCCTAAACCCTAAACCCTAAACCCTAAACAACCGAGACGGGGGGTGGCGCAGCCTTTTTCTTCGACAGAAACAGCTTTGTTTGTTTGTTTTTATTGTGTTTATAACTCTTTTTTGAATAAAGGAATAAAATATTATTATATTTAACCAAGACAAATGTGCAAAAGCCGCAAAGAGGAGTTGCCGGTGTGTATGTACACCTCAGCAGCAACCATCGTTTTGTTTAGGGTTTTTATTGTTTATTAAACACATTTTAAAAATTATTTAAGTAAAGAAGCAAACACTACTGAGGCTCTTCTGTCCTCTACTCCAATATCTCTCGGGTGTATATACACCTCCCTATGACTCTCCTTCCTGGTTGTGTTTCTTCTACGCATTGTAATACTTTCTAAACTTAAATAAAAAGCAAAAGAAGGGCTTTCACTCCATCATAGGCCTCCGGTTAGCCTCAGCCCCCCAGACTTCAGAAGAAGCACCAACGAGAGACACAATAAGCCTATTAGCTAACTCCGCTGCTGCTGCTGCTTCTGTTGCTGCTGCTTCTGCTGCTGCTTCTGTTGCTGCTGCTTCTGCTGCTGCTTCTGCATGCAAGCTGCATCAAGGTATGCGGGAATGAAGCCTGCGGACAGCTGCAGCAGAAGCAGCGCTCAGATGCACAATGGACCAGCGGTCCCTTGTGCATGTGTGTGGAAGGCTTCTGCTGCTGCAGCTTCTGCTGCTGCTGCAACTGCATCTGTTGCTGCCTGCAATCTGTTGTGTTGTTTAGCCGGAGTGTATGCGCAGTTGAGATCTCAAGGAAGGCTAAGAGACAGCAGATATTCTCTGTCTGTCTCTTTTGAATGCCTTTGGAGACACCTGCACCTTGGGGTGTATATACACATTTGGGGTGTATGTACACAGTTGGGGTGTATGCGCTTAGTTGCCGATGTTAGCTGTAGGGCCCTTCCGCTGCTGCAACGGTTGCGCTCTGCTGCTGCTGCTGCTGCTGCTGTTTAGGAGGCTGTTCATTTTATCTCCCAGCAGCAATCGGTCTGTGTAGCAGCAGCAGAAGCCACTGTATAGGGTGCAGCAGCAGCTGCTGCTGCTGCTGCTTCGCGTGCACATGCTGCTGCAGCAGCAGCAAGTGCACAAGCTGCAGCAGCAGCACCAACCAGGAGACTCTTCAGGCAAGGAGACACTAGCCGAACGTACTTTTGTTGCTTGTCTGTGTTTTGCTTAGGGTTTAGGGTTTAGGGTTTAGGGTTTTGTTTGCATGTAGATAATCAGAGAGAATTCCTTGTTTGTTTCTTTAATTATAAGTCTGCTCGCTTCATTCGGAGACAGTCGCTACTAGACGATGTTTTGATTAGCCCTAAAGCAGCAACCAGCAGCAGCTGCAGCGGGGGCCCCTCTGCTGCACCCCCAAGAGACACTTCTGCTGCTAGTGGTAGCACTCCGTGAGCACCGGCAGTATTGGGGTGTACGTACACCTCAAGCTGCAGCAATGCAACATTCCCGCGCTGCAGCACCACTGCGTCTCCGCTCTCTGGTCGCTTGTCTATTGCTGCAGCTGCTTCAATTTCTGTCTCTCCTTGCGCTGATATCTCTTCAAGTACTTCATCATATGCTGCCAGCTGTACAGACAGCTCGCCGCTCCACTCCACCGTCCACCAGCGCTGCTGCTGCTTCTCTTGCTGCTGTTGCTGCTGCTGCTGCTGCTGCTGCTGTTGTTGTTGTTGTTTCTGCTGCTGCTGCTGCTGCAGGTGCAGGGCTCGTCTTAATGTAGCAGCAGTGGGGGACTTGAAGCGCAGAGAAACTGGGGTGTCTGCTGAGCTTGTTAGCAGCAAGAAGAGACAGTGTTTCTCCCCTTGAAGGAGACACCCCGTGTTGCTGCTAATGCAGCACTGCATTGCTGGAAGAGACAAATTTGCTGCCTTGTTAACACGAAAAGGAGACAGCCCATCGAGAGCAAGATTAGCCTTCACAAGAAATCTGCTGCAGCTGCTGCAGCGTTTGCTGCGTCGCTGCAGCAGCTCCCGGCGCTTCAGAGGCAGGAAGGAGCAACCTGCTGCTGCAGCAGCAAACGCCTCCGGACACAGCAGCAGCTGCTGCAGCCCCACACGGTCCTGCATGCGCAGATGTCTTGCAAATGCAACAGCGCGGGGCCCTGAATATAAAGGAGACACATCAGGGTGCCCCTGATCAACCAGCAGCTGTTCGGCATGAAGCGGCTGAGAGAAAGAAGGGAAGAGACACTCATATCCAGAGGCAGTGGAGACAGAAGACAACGAAAAGTTGTCTCCTGCCGTATCTGCTGCTGCTGCTGCTGCTGCTGCTGCTGCTGCTGGTGCTGCCGGTGACGTGTCTGCTGCTTCCATCAAGGGGTGTTCTTGTGCTGCAGCACCTCTTTTTCGTGCTGTTGCTGCTGCAGCAGCAGCAGCAAGGGTATCTCTCACGCTGCAACGCAGGTGCTGCCCTGAGGCAACAGCAGCAAGAGACACTCGAGGAGCAGCAAACAACCAACTTGAGGGTCTCTTAAACTCCCACACATCGAATTCTTTGATTTGTTTTTCTCTTGCTGCTTCTGCTGCTTCAGCTTCTCTAAGCCCCCAATGTCCCGCTGCTGCTGCTGCTGCTGCTGCTGTCCCTGCTGCTGCTGCTCCTGCTGTCCCTGCTGCTGCTGGTAGCAGTCGCCGCGCAGCACCGCGAGGCTGCGCGTTTGCTGCTGCAGCTATAAGGGCTACAACCGCTCTGCTCTTTACAGTTTGCTGAAGCTGTCTCCTCCTCTCTTTCTCGCTTGCTTTTTGCTCTAGCACCGCAAGAATCTCATTAAATGTATATTCTGCTAGTCCTAGTTTGTCTCCCTGAGCAGCAAACACAGGAAGAGCAGCAGGTAGACACGAGGAGACACCTGCTGTCTCCGAGCTCCAGCTGCAGTAGCTGCAGCAGTAAAAATATACGTGCTTCCCGCTGCAGCTTGCCCCCGCCCCTGCTGCTGCTGCTCCTGCTGCTGCTCTTGCTGCTCCGTCGTTCCCGTCATCGCTGTCTGCAGCAGCAGCAGCAGCAGGTGTCTCCTCCTCCTCTAGATCGAAGTCAAGGCTAGCAACAGACAGCAAACTGTCGCAGCGCTGTGGGGCGCCGTGAACAGCAAATCCAGCTGTCTCCTTCAGGTGTCTCTCCACCTCCGAAGCGTCTCCTTCGCATGCAGCGATAACAGCCTTCCGGGCCTTTTCTGCTGCTGCTGCTGCTGCTGCTTCTGCTGCCTTCTCCTCTGCTTCGGCGTCCAGCAACGAGGCGTAGTTCGCAGCAGCAGCTGCTGCTGCTGCTGCTTCTGCTTTTGCTGCTGCTGCTGCGTGTCTCACTGCGACACCAGCTAAATCCTCATCTCTGTCGTCGTTGTACAGGAAAGGCAGCGCCTCCCTGGGATGGTCTCCGGGATCGTCTCCGGGATCGTCTCCTCCTGGCCACCCCACAACTGTCTCCTCCTTTCGCTTACGAGACAGAGACAAACCATTTAAACATCGAGGGCAGCAAAAACATTTGCTGCAGCGAAAGCCGCATGCAGCACCAGCAGCAGGCGGCAGCAGCTCCAAACAACCGGGGCAGACGTAGCACTCGACCTCTTCTACCACCTGCAGCCCAAACCCCAAACCCTAAACCCTAAACCCTAAACCCTAAACCCTAAACCCTAAACCTTAAGTCCCAAACCCTAAACAATAAATAGTAAACCCTAAACTATAAACAATAAACAATAAACAATAAACAATAAATTTTAAACTATAAACAATAAACCCTAAGAGAGCAATCGAACCCTAAACCCTAGGCCCTAAAACAATAAGCGTACCCTAAACCGTAAACCCTAAACCCTAACACCCTAAACCCTAAACCCTAAACCCTAAATCGTTTCTTACCTGCAGCGGCGAGAGAATCCTCCTACAAGGCTCACAGACGTACAGCTCCTCTAACTTGTACAGACAGCCCCGAGCCGGTTCTGTTGCTGCTGCCTTCTGCTGCAGCTGCTGCTGCTGCTGCTGCTGCTGCTGCCGTTGCTGCTGCCCTGTTGGGGAGTCGGAGACAGGAGAGGGAGACCCTTCCTCCTGCTGCAGCGAGGGCACTTGCCTAGAGCCCTCCAAGTCCACATTCACCAGTACGTACACCTCATTGCTGTTGCTGCTGCTGTCGTCGCTGCTGCTGCTGCTGTCCTGAGGCGAGCGCTGCTGCTGCTGCAGCACATCGACAAAGTTAATGGGGGGGAAAATAAACAAATCCGCCCAGGCATCTTCCTCTGAAGCTCCTGCTGCTGTTGCTGTTGCTGCTGCTGCTGTTGTTGCTGTTGCTGCTGCTGCTGAGGGATCTGCTGCTGCTGCAGCGTCCGTAGTAAAGCCTTGCTGCTCCATTGTTAGTTCGGGTTGCTGTATATGGGCCTTAAATCAGGTGTATAGACACCGCGATGCTGATTCAAATCGTGTGGGTGCTGCTGTGACTGCAGCAGCAGCTGCTGCTCTTGCTGCTGCTGCTGCTGCTGCTGCTGCTGCTGCTGCTTCCCCGCGGCCCGAAGCCGCAGCAACAGATTAAAACGACGGCGAAGCCTCCTCGTTCTGGTAGTTCTGCTGGTTCGCGTGCTGTTGCTCCTGTTTCTGCTGCTGCTGCTGCTGCTGCAGCTGTTGCTGTTGCTGCAGCTGCTGCTGTTGTTGTTGCTGCAGCTGCTGCTGCTGTTGCTGCTTCTGCTGTTGTTGCTGTTGCTCGTTGGTTGGAAGTAGCAGCAGGGGGTCTACAAGACGGCGGGGCCTCTCTGCTTCGATTTGCTGTATATTTTGAACGATTTCTTCTTGTAGCTGCACATACACCCCAACAAAACACAAAAGTAGCTGCGCATACACCGCCATACACCTATACAAAACATAGAAACAGCTGCAGATACACTCCAACAGAGCACGGCAGCAGCTGCAAATACACCCGAACAAAGTTCAGCAGGAGCTGCAGATACACCCGAACAGAGGGGATGAGCCAATGCATGAAAGAGGGCTCCAGGTGCCGCATTTGCAGCTTTTATTCAAAAAGATTCCGGGTGTATAGGCAGCTCTTTCTTCTTACTCTTAGCACTGCTTGTCGTCTCCTCGCCTCCGCAGCAAAACTCCGTCTTACAGAAAGGTTCACGATACTCCCCACCTCTAGAGGATCTGAGGTGTACATACACCCCAACTATGCATGCATTCAAACGCCCCCCAAACAAACCAGCAGCAGCACTACAAGCAGCAACGTCAGCAGCAGCAGCTGCTGCTGCAGCAGCAGCAAGGTGCTAAAGCCCCGATTTTTCTCTACTTTCTGAGCAGCATACCAGGTGCAGTCGGTTGGCTACTCCAAACAGCGAGCCTATGATTTAGAGTCTAGGGTTTAGGGTTTAGGGTTTAGGGTTTACCGGGGATAAGAGAAGCTGGGAGAGAGAAGGCTTGGCGATCAGCTGTAAGAAAAGTTACGAGGCCTCCTTCATTGAAGCCCCCAACTGTCGCACGCAGCGAAGAGGCTGCATGCGCGCAGGAGCAGCAGGAGAAGGTTTGCTCTTTGTTGCTGCTGCTGTTGTTGTTGTTGCTGCTGCTGCTGCTGCTGTTGCTGTTGCTGTTGCTGCTGCACTCAGGTACCGACAGCGAACCGCTTGGGCTCGGCCTGGTGCTCAGCGGCGGCCCTATGAAGCCGGGAGGCAGCGGAAACATCCGCACATCTCAAATGCAGCAGCAGCAGCTGCAGCAGCAGGAGCTGCAGCTGCAGCTGCAGCAGCAGTGTGCGTTATGTTAAGGCAGCAGCAGCGGCAGCAGTAGCAGCAGCAGTAACACAGCAAGTGAAGAAGACAGCAAGGCGGTCAGAGCAGAAATAAACTTAAAATATATTTTTGGAGTTGAAGCAAAGAAGAGCAGCAGCAGAGCGAGAGGCGGAAGGCAGCAGCAGCAACTGCAGCAGCAGCAGCAAGACAACACTGCATGCGAACAGCGGAGTCTATATATACTAATAGTATGTAAATTCTGTTAATGACAGCATTAAAAAAATAAATATTTTAAGTTATATTTATCTATTTAGTAGGAGAAAACAAACAACAGCCTCGCCAATCTCCGCATGTTTTGTTTTTCTGTTGCATGCAGTGCTGTGTGTATGCATGCGTGATGTATTACTGCATGTGTTTGTGTGTATTTGTGTTGTCTTGTTTATTTTATTGTCTGTTTATTTAAATAATTATTTGTTTGTTTGTTTGTTTCTGCTTCCAGTGTCTGCCTACAGACGATGGGCTGTCTATGCATCCAGCTACGAATACACTCCGAGCAACTTGGCCGGGGAAGAGACGATCCCAGTTAGGGAGGAGACGATCCCAGCTGGCAGACACTGCAAAAGAGACAGAGAAACAGAAATAGAGGCAGAGACAGAGACTGAAAGAGATACAAAGGAGATGATAAATAGAGACAGAGATAAAGAGACATTTTGCTCTTTTTCTCTCGGTAGGGCGGAAAACAACAAATGCGGTAGGTAAGAGAGACGCAATAGGAAGAGACAAAGAGACACACAGAGACAGAGACAGAGTGAGACAGATAGACGGACAGACAGAGACAGACAGACAGACAGAGGCAGACAGACAGAGACAGAGACAGAGACGGAGACAGAGAATGAGTGGGAGGAATGTTCTATCAAATAGGGAGACCCAAACGAAGAAAGAAGGAGACAGCCAAAAGGTAAAGACGTAGACAGCGACACGAGGAGACGAACAACCACAGAAACACAAGGAAAGAAAAGAGACTAAAAAAAACAGACACACAAGGAAACAAAAAAAGACAGAAGGGGGCGAAGAAGTGTGACAGCCACGAAGGGGCAAACAAGGAAAGAGACATAAGGAGATAAAATGAAGCAGAAACACAAGGAGACAGACGCAAAGACAGAGAAAGAGATCATAAGATGAACAGGGACAGAGACACAAGGAGATAAACAGAAACAGAGAAAGAGACAAACAGAAACAGGAAGAGACAAGGAGACAAAAGGATGCTTGCCCCCACGAAACTCCAGACAGGAAACGACATATATATATATACATATATATACATATATATATATATATATCTTCCATATGGTGGGAAATGGTTGTGTGTCTGCCTTGCATGCACCCAAGGCAGAGAAGCACCTCTTCTCGCTCCCCCAGAGCAAATAAGACCCCGATAATACAGGGTTTTGTTATTGGTGGGCATCCATTGTTACATTAGTTAAAATCGTAGGGCATCCAAGCATCTCCCTGGAGCTGAAGGAGCACTCGCAGCTACCACACTAGTGCTTGTCTGCCTTGAATGCATGCAAGGCAGACGCACAACCCTTCTCAGCATATATATATATATATATATATATATATAATGTATAGGCTGAAAGGTTTGTGCGCCTGTGTATGTAGATGTATTATAATGTAGTGTTGTAGTAATAGAGTAAACTGTTCCAACGTCCGATCCGCAACTTGAAGCCTCGGTACTTAACGCAAAAAGACTACACTCGCAGTGTTGGCGGTATAAAAACAACAAAAGTGAAAATAATGGGGGCCTCCCCCTCCCAATTCGGAGGACACCGCTAGCTCTGCGGTGTTTGTAGAGCCCACGCAAAAGAAAAAAAAACGGAACGCAACAAGCTGCTCCAGTACCTTAATGCCCATAGGAGGCACTGAGGTAGGCAGCAATGAACCAAACAAAAGACGAGAGTCTTGATAGGCGAGAGGTGGGTGCACCCACTACATACAGCATAACGAACACCAGCAAATATCGTCGAGGAATGCGCAAACTTGAACAAGAAAAAGATGTTCCACTACTCAGTAGGAGCCACGGCATAACTCCTAATAGTCATTCACTGGTCAGCGTCTAGGGTTTATTAGGGTTTAGGGTTTTTTAAGTGCGTGAGCTACGCCTTATACTGGGCAATCAAGAGCGGTAAACGTTTTATTTTACGTTTGCTGAAACACAGCACCACGACCATCTCTATTTGATTCAAATGAAAGCAAATAAGCAGCTCCATCATCCCAAGTAAGAGCACAAGGTTTGTCTTTCCTCTACAGCATTCCCTCTTGTCGGTATACTCTCCAAGAAGACTGAGCACTCTCGCTTCCTGAACAGCATTTTGAGAGCCGCCATATGTGGCTGGTGAGGCAGCACATAAGCGAGTTGCATTTCTGAATAAAGACACTTTATATCATTACATAATACTGCACATTGGAGCATACAACAACTTCGTTGTTGGCGTGTTGTTGCTGTTTGCTCCAGAGTTGATTCTGTTTAAACAACATCAAATGATACTGCACGACCCCGTCGCTACAGAATCGGAATGAGAAAAACCTTTTGAAGGTTTCGGTCGGAAGGAAGTGCGCCAAATGCTTGAAAAGAAACTCCAAGAATACGCAACAACCTGCAGCGATTATTTCATCAACAGAACTCCGGGTTTGGAGTTCAGCCTTTCGCTGAAGCACAGGTCGGTCGGAAATTTTGTAGATAATCGCGCGGCAACTGAAAGCCGCGTTGTCGTCGGTAATCCATAATAACTGCTGCTTGAGGGCGCTCTCCATTGGGTGCTTTTCGCTGGAGATTGCTTGGAAGGAGCGGAAAGAAGAAAGGACGAGCATGCAGCAAAACTTGAGCTGCATTCCTCGAGGTGGTGGGGCTCTGTTCAAAAACGATATTCTGACCCTGTCTGCTATCTTGGACCGGCATGTAAAGAAGATAGACCAAAATGCAGATAAAGTCGAACACAAGAAACCGCACTGTTGCTGCCTTAATCCACAACAGCGCGTTCTTATATACACCAAGCGATCGGCCTTCGTTCCATCTGCACGCCTGTTCAACTCCGTGTACTCATCAAATACAAAAAACCGGAAGATAATCGCGCTGGGGGTGTCCCCAACAGCTTGGGAAGAAGCCAGCAGGCGTATGTGGCTGCAAAGGTCCCTTCGCCTGGCTGTAACGGAATGCTCCAGTAACGGGATTCAACGTCTTTCATCGCCTGTAAACCGTAGGGCCGGGCGATGAGCTGCAGAGAAATAAACACGCCGCAAAAAAAGCCAAATGTTGCTGAAACAATTTGAATAAAAAACGAAGTTACAGTTCTTCTTCTCTTGCTCCCATCAGCTGCTGTTTAATATCTCCTGATGACCTGACTGGGGATCAACGACTAAGAAGACTCAGGTAGATAAACCCTGCATCAAGAGCATATTATACATATATGCATAAGGTTGTTCAATATCAAAAGCTTTCCTGTTCACCTGAGCAGGTTACTATAATACTACCCGACAAACCACTGTCCGAATCACTCTCAAAGCTCAGCGTCTGTTGAAGAGAGCATTCCCCTATACACACCAGCACCCAAAAACAGAGCGAAAAACGTTGAGCCCGCGCCTGAAACGCTTCCTCACAAGCCCAGCAGGATTCCTGCAGTTGATGGCCTATACAAAATTTAATGAAGACTAAAATGGGGAAATGCAAAAAACAACGAATGAAATGGGCATTCCAGCTCTCACCCTCCTCGTCGCCGAAAGCGCCCACTACCATGGAGACAAAATCACCCAAATATTCCGCAGTTTGGCCCAACTGCTACAGCACAAAAGAAAGGAATTCGAAGTACAAAACAGAACAATCTTGTCGTAGAGCGAAACGACGAGAAGCAGAGATCCACAGCCTCAAGAGAGCTGTCAGTTCTACAGAAAAAAGGGTAAAAGCATCAGATTATGGAGCCATTCAAACAGCAACACCGCAGAAATCAGGGAAAGCGGCGCGAATTGTGCAATCAAGAGACAGGGAGCTGCTGAAGGGATTTTGGTACTGCCGACTGACCTCCTCATCTGGCCAGCCTCTAGAGCCTGGCTGCAATCAACACGCGCGTGCACAAGAAACGAAAAGAAGATGAATAGACTGCTCAGGCACCTCATCTTTAAAGTCGGTCTGCTACAGGCTACACCAAAGCTCTGCGCCGCTCTAATCTCACTCCTTCGGAAATGCTGAATTCGAAGAATACGCCACCACATAGCAATGAGCAATGTCCTGTACATTGCACAAAGGCAAGAAAACAAGAACGATTTCCTGCTCATTCCTCCCTAAAGAGATATTGCCGATGCGAAAAACCCGCCCAAGGTTGCATGCCTGAAGCGCATTCTTGTGAATGCGCTTCAGGCATGCAACCTTGCTGGTGCACTCACTGCAACATCAGAACTACGGTATTTTGCTGCTCCTACCAAGGCGATGACCGCGACGCTGCTTGCCCAAACTACCAATAAGCGAAACCAAATGAGTTAGTTCCCTCTTTGCCTGCACGAACGCACAGAACTCGTTTAAAGCCCCTCCAGGAGGGTATTTTGCATGCGGCTTTGTTACCTCTAGAAAGCCGAAAAGATGAACGAAAGCCTCAGCCGAAGGGAAGGCATCAGAAGTAGCAGGCGTGATTGTGAATACTGCTTCATCACGTTTCCTTGCGACCTCTCATACTTTGTAGTGCATCAGAGACAGAATGTACCACGACTTCAGCAAACAGCATCTTCTGCTTGCTACTTATTGCTCTCTCCGATCCCTTAGCTGTTTCGGCTATGTGAAACTTTGAATGGCTCATGAAGTACCTCTGGGCAGCTAATCTGGGGAAAATCCCGCGGCGGAAATTGACCCCTCCGCCGCCGCAATGCATCTCTGACCCTTTTGCCTACGCCTCCAGCTGCACTTTTCAATCGAGCTACAACAGACGTGCGGCGAGAAGACGGAGCAGCAGCCGCTGGTGCTGTTCTGTCCTGCGCTTCTCCCTCCGTTGACTCCGCTTCCCCCCCCGGCTCATCCTCTGCAGCAGGTCCTCCGCTCGCTCCCGCCGTCGCGGTTTCCTCGGGTGTACGACCCCCTGAATTGTCATGCGGATCCTGATGAGCCCCCGGGACTTCCCACAAGGCCCATGCCCCTGAACCGCTTGATGCCCCTAAGGGTTCACCAGAAGAAGAAACTGAACGCTTGCGTTGCTGCACGTCTCCCAACACCCCCCCGGGAGGTCGACTTTGCCGCGTAGGACTGCCTTTTTGCGAAGGCGGTCCTACGCGGTCAGATGCGTCAGCGGTTCCCCCCGCTGGGTCCCCCCCAAGCCTGTCTGACGGCTGTCCTTGTCCGCTTCCCCTAGTCACTTCAGTTGGTGCGCCACCTGCAGCAAGTCCTTGTTCCCCTTGATCCTGTCCGTCATCGTTCTGCCACTGTACCCTTCCTCCGCCAATTCCATATTCTGTACTGGTCATTGGCTTTGAGTCAGGCAGTTCACTGCGCATATCATCCCCTCCATCCCCCCCAAACCAGCTTCGGGTATTACCTGAATCGCCGCGAGTCCCCCGTCGGGTTGTGCTTGTTTCATCAGGCTCTCTATACCCCAAATCTTCATACGGGGGTGGAGGCTCGCCCAGAGGCTCCTCCCAATGCGGGTTACCTCCTCCAACAAACCACGGGAATGAAAATGCAGTAGGAAGAGAAGGTTCTCCTGGGTGTCCATGTCGGCGACGCCTTAAGCCGCCTTCGAGAGAACGGGGCCGTTCACCTCCCTGTACCCCCGAAGTCCCATAACGTCGCTGTCTGGGCCTACAGGAAGATCCCTAATGGGCAGAAACAAGCGAACGCTGACAATGTACACCCCAGTTGATGCATGCAAATATGTACTCAGCACTGCCTAAGGGAGGGGGCTGGGAACCGCTGGAGTTAAGGCTGCTTAAGACGGCGCACAGAAAACGTACAAGTTCCCAGAGGATCTACAAGAACTCTGTTAGGCCTAGGGTGTATTTCGCGACGCAGGAAGCAACTTCAAACAGCACACCATACGGCGGACACGTACCTGTCCCGCTAGTCTTCTTGATGGAGCCGTCGGCTCCCTTCGGCCAATAATTTGCATTGCGCACTGCAAAATTAGAAAAATCAGAAGAGATGAGATTACGGCAGTGGAAATGAACCTGAAAGGCGAATTGCGTGGACGGCGTTTGCCGCCGGTGCTGTGAACGGTGGGCTGAATGCCAGAAAGAGAGCTCCCCACAGCTAAATCTCCCTGTGCAGCTAAGAAAGACCTTCTATACGGAATCATTGTAGAAATATAACAAACGGATATATCCGGCAAGGCGGTAAAGTTGACCCAAACATTCGTCCAGCGGATTGACCGAGGGTCAACAGATCCTCGTTAGCAAGAGAAGACAAGTCATCTCAAGCTAGTTCCGTGCAGCAAACGAAAAAACTCCCTCAACCTCAAAATTTTTGAGATTCCTAATGTTGCGCAGCTACCATCGCAGACGCAATTCAGCCAATGAATGAACATTGGGATCGACGGGGGTTCCGGTAGCCTGCTGCATGAATCAGCAACGCTCTTCACACCAAACGCACACGTTGAGCACCTTCAGCGGAGTAATGCATGAGTGTTCCTCCCATGTTGGACCTCTGAAATGATTATTTTTAGTGGAGATAGGCTTGCCTTCTTCTATAGGGCGCCAGCTAAATGTGCGAACGCGCTGGTGGTCACGCAACTAAACTTCACGTCGAGTGGAAACGTTCCACAACGTAATAATACTAACTCGCCAAGTAAACCTAAATGTTGGTAGCAGGACACCAAGGAATCCTTGCCTGCAATGCAGTGCAATTGCTCCTGTGTGATGTTGTTTGTGTTTCATGCTCTTTGCTTACCGGCCACCTATTAACAAGGGGAAAGAAAGTCTTTAACAACGGTCTACAGTGTAGGTACATGCCGCAAAAGTGGCATATGGTTGCGCTTGCATTTGATGTTGCCTGGTAGCATGATTTGTAGCACGGTCCGTTGCCGTCTAAATCCGGAGGCCGAATCCTCCGCGCAACAAAAAATAACTCAAGTCCCTTGGGTGGCTCTGTAAGTCACGCTTTGAAGAGTGTGGGGGAGGTGTGCTGCTTTGGGAGAACACTGAAGTCTTTTTGATTCAGTAGTAGCCTATAACGGCATAGTTATATTATAACGGCATAGTTCATCGGCGCGAGTAAAAGCTGCAAACCTTACCCCCACATCTGGATAGTTTGTTTAATAGCACTGACTAGTAACGATAGCGTGTTGCAAGAACTCACCCCTCTCTCTCATCGTGCGCAGTGGGGATCGATCAGTATCTGCACTCTGATGGGGATGCAACCAACGGCTGGGTGCCTTGCCGCATTCGAACGAGCGCAATATCTACGTATAATGCAGCGTTCATCATGAAGAATGTCCCCGCTTCTCCGGACAGTCCAGCTATGACTAGCACTGAACGCGGGGAAAGTGGGGGGCTTACCGGGAGTTGAACTTTCCTGCTGAGCATGTACCCAAAGAACCACAGATGCACTTAGCATTGCTTTTTTCAGAAAGGGAAGCAACGGTTGCACTTTTCAGGAGAGCACCTGAATTATGTAGGTTCATACACAAACAGGCGCTGCAGTGCAGGCCTATTGCCAGGACGGCAAGGCAATGAGCTGGGGGGAAAAGGGGAAACCATGCATAGGGCACTACATTGCCAGGTATAAGTTCGTAATGAACAGAATTCCAACCGCGAACTAGAAAAGCGTAGATACCCTATGAAAATTGGGGATGTGAGTGTCGCCCCAGTGGGGAATAACAGAGGCTTGAAGATGACCCAAATATACAGCCTGTGAGGATTGGGCCCATGAATGCCAGCACAGCGTACACAAGCACAGCAAGAGAAAACTGGCGGCGGACGGCGAACCAAGCACTCAGAAACTCCGGGGGGAGTAAAAGGGGAGCAGCTGTGCCGCCCGTTGCTTCCCTTTGTACCAGCGCGGCCACATAGTTCGAAAATCCAGAGAAGGTAGAGAACTGGAGAAGCAAGATGCTGAGCAGCGAGTCCAAGGGAACAAACAAAGCGATGGTGGGAACGCCCTGGTTCCCACGCAACGTACAGGATATTGATGGGGAAGAAAGAGATGACAGCTGCGAGTGCAGATCCGCCTCAAGTCTATTCTGGTTACTCGAGTTAGTATTACTGATCAGGCGGTGCTAATGCTACTTGAAACAGGCTGCGAAGTTGACCTCGTGCCTGACGCTTTGGCGACGTGGTGCAACCTACCAGTCTGTTTGTTGGTGCAGTCTGCGCATCTGCGCTTCGCCGATGGCAGGCAGCTCACGAGCAATCGGCACAACATATTTAAGATGCGGGCTCAATCCACTAATTGGTCCACTGAGCATGGTGGGCAGCTACTACGTTGCAGTAGTTCATCAAGAGATAATCTTAGGCATGCTACGGACAGAAGAAAACACTAATGAGGCGAGATGCGGGGAAGCAAGGAGAGTGTACAGCTCTTCGCACTTGCTGCAACATTCGCATCCCCTGCGCCAACAGAAAAGGAGTCAGTGTTCCAAGATTATTGGCCATAACGTTTTCAAGCCAACTGTGCAGCTGATGCTCAGATTTTTTTTGCGGGCTAGGCAAGATGCATGCATTTGCTTCTTCACCCCACTTATTTGTACTTCCTGGTCTCACATAATGGGCTTGTGGAATGGGAATGTTATATATATATATATATATATATATTATATACCAACAGTGGAATAGCCTATCGTGAGTTGCCCGAATGTAAAATCTTACAGATAAAATCATTTGATCGCATGCCCTCATATTCTGGGCCAATTTGTCGCTATAAATATCCTCCTACTACAGAGAGAAAATTTGCTACATAGAAGAAATTATACCTAACTAGGGTATTGCGGCGATCCGTCTTGCAAGTGAGTTATTGTCCCCTCATTCGGAACCAGCGTCCGCACAACTAGTAAATTAAAATTGATCCTTAGTGCATTGCTTGCTCATTTCTCTCGCCACTACCGGCTGAGTCATTGCCATTTTTCGTGCTACATAAAAAAAGCCAGCGGGATGTCAATAAAAAGGGACCGCATGTCAGATAAGCGGGGGTTCGCTCCCTTCAGCATATTGCCCCCCTCAGCGCGGTAGTATCATCAGATACGTTTTTACTGTAGCTGAGTATCCTCAGCCAGAGTTGAAACGTCCCCTCGTTATTTTGTATGTTGTGTATGCAGCAGAGCCTTCCACTTTATGCACTGGTGTTGGAGTATAGTATTGATGCTACTGGCACATAATTTGGTTGGTCTTTTGAAACGCGATTTTCACTTTCAACTCAGTTTAGTCCACAGCTGAAGCTGTTAGTATGAAGCGCCAACAGCGTTACTGGTTCACTTATCATTTGCCCAGAAACAAGATTCCACTTGTCTTTCAATCTATTTCTTATCTTTGCAACAGTTAAAAGCATGGGACGCGCGAGAAGCGGCACCCGCACACACCTGCTCTCGCATGAGAAATCTGTCAAACCAATCCAACGAGAGGCGGTAGATGAGAAAAGTGTGCTCATGAAGAGGGCCCTTTGAGAGGGGTAAGGGCCGCTTCACAGCATTTAGAATGATTGTTCCTGGTGCAAGATTGTGAGGAAGGTAGGTGACAAAAAATGTGCTCATGAAGAGGGCCAAGTGAAAGAGGTAAGGGCTGTTTCACAGCATTTAGAATGATTGTTCTGGGTGCAACATTGTCAGGGTGGTCAAATCTTGAAAGTGAGAGCGAGTGGATATCGTATCACTGGACGCAACGAGAAGTCACGAAAATGTGAATAGTACGCTTGGTTCAGTTTTCTCTGGTATTGCGTGGAGGAGCATGAAGGGGCATGCTGTTTACCTTTCACGACAAGATACTGAAGTTGTTCGAAGAGTCTCGACAACAGCGAAAGGAGAGAACAGTGTGCGTTTCTAAACGGGCGGCAGGCAAATACCATTATTGCACTGGGTATTGCCTCCCGTATAGAATTTTGGAGACGAAGGCAGTGCGGAATAGAAACCGTGTGAGGGTAGACAGTAAAGTAGCTAAATATTTTGAATAAAGCAGCTATCAGCAACCTGCGCCCCCCAAGCTGTGTGGAATGCGAAGTGCTCGGCAGCTGAAGCAGTAAGCAACAATGCAATCGGAAAAGAAACAAAGCTTGATTTTATGCCAGTACGATAATTCAAGGTTTCTTATGGAGTTCGCCTCTAGTGTCATGACTGGAGTTGTGGCCGCCTCTTTTCCATCCCTCGTGGCTCGCAACAACTTTCACAGTAACATGTTTCTTATTGGGGAGTCTGAGGCGAATTGCAGCTTGTAAATGTTATAACTCTTTCTCTAGGCTTTCATTCATCGACCCTGAGTTGAGCTTTTCAGCTGGCTTGCATGCTTCTTTACATATCTGGTTCCCCTCATTCAATACTTTCCCAGTTTTCCCATGCGCGCGAGCGCATAGTCACAAGTATGTGGGGCCTGAGATGCGTCCCCACATTTCCTCATTATAATTCTTTTTTGCAATAATAAGGAGATAGTGTAAGACTTTCATTGCACCATATATTGAGTCTATCGAGGTTGCAGTTGCTTTCTTGCGACACAGTGATAATAGGTTTGCGGGGAGCAGCAAGTATTTCGGTCCTTCCAAATTTGATTGGAACACGCCTTTGAACGCTAGCAGAAGTGAAAGCCAAAGCATGAATATGGGCTTCTGTGCCCATATTATGCTCATATTAGGGTCTAGACAGTCGGTCTACCCAACTGTTTGGAAGTCTATGAAGGTTCTGCCTTGCTCAAAGGGGCTTTCTCTGGGACAACAGCAGAGTTCTCACGGTTCTGTGGAGCTCGTGGGCATCGAGTGGAAAGCCGTCAATGCTACTCTTCTTGTTGCATCTAGTTCGAAAAAGTAGGGTTGCGTGCTTAGGGATACAGATGGTGTAATGTCAGATGGTGTCTGGATCTGCCAAGTATAACAAGAGTCCTCCATCCTAGCCCAGGACCGTTGAGCTGCACTGGAGTCGGATTATTTAACATCAGAGTTCCCAAGAGCCGCTGAATTTCTTTCCAGTCTTCCGGCGTCCTGTTCACAGAGACCGAGTGTCCTGGGGCCGATGGAGAGAGAAGGCAGATGCAGTCATTAGTCGCAACACATCTCGTTGCAACTCCTGCAAGGCAACCTAACCTACATAAGCCCCATTTGGGAGCATGGACTGACGCCGTAGACAATTGTTAAACACTTATTTGGCCCGCAGTAGCCATCTTGCACGCAAGAAGTACTTGTTCCAACTTCAGACAGACCGCGCGCTCCCCTTTTTTCTCCCCAAGCGATAAGCTCCCTCGTGCACCCGGCTGCCCAACAAGAAGTGGGCATATGAAGGTGAAAAGTTGCTGTTACCGTTCCTGTTTGGAACATACTTCTCAGTTGGAGGCTATTATAGGAGGGGACGTCCTGTAGCTTAAAACGAAGCCTCTGGCACTCATGCATTTCTGAGTTAAGTGAAACACAACTTAGCTCATTGTGTCGAGCTTGAGCTGTTCCCTTTCAATCTAAAAATCCCACATTTCGTTGCCGTTCCTACTCTGCCCGACAACGTCGTGAGGTTTGCTCAAGTACTCAAACAGACAGGGTAATGAATACACCACAGGTATCAGTCTATGTTTTCAACCCGAAAGAGTTGGGATTTGCATATACTTCGGCGTCGACGTGGATCGACAGAATTATGAATCCTTTGGTCATGTTGTTGGGGAACAACTTTAGGCGATGTCCGGAATGAACAAACTATCTAGTTGGTGGAGAAACAGTCGAAGTGCTGCTGAAACAACGCCCAGCTCGGTAGAGTGCTTATCTAGGTTCAAAGCCAGCCCGTCTTGTGCGAAGGAACATATGCCGTTGCGGGGCGACAAAGAAGGAACTGCATGATCATATAAATGCACAGCTTTCTGTCTCATCAACAAGCCCCAACTGAATGCCTATATTGTAGACGTTAGGCCGTTGAACCATAGAACCCAAATAAACCCTAAACAGAAAGGGAATTTCCGGCAGTTAGATATTTAACACAAGCTCACACGCCCAGTCCCTCTTTGAGAGTTAGGGACGCTTATCAAATATGGTGTAACTGTTAACTGAAAGCCACTGTGGAATTCCCTCGGAATTCCACAGTTACGCATCAAACTACCCACACGACGAGACCCCCTACTGGTGGGCCGTTCTGATAAGACTATGCAAATGGGGTTTTATACCAACTGCTACGGCTGTTCTCTTCTGCATTCTGATTTGAGTTCCTCCAGTCTGGGGGCGTTGAAACTTCTTTGTGGAACTGCCCAGCCTGCATGTCCTCGTTTGATTAGTTGCGTCCCTGCAAACCCCTTCAGCCTTAGCTACTTGCCTCAAACGCGAGCATTACTGCGTAGTGAAGAAGTGCCATGCATGCACAGTGTAGGTTAGATCGCTATCTTAAAGCAGCTAGAAACCTGCGTCTGCCCCATTTTGTGAATGCTAGCGGCGGAATGCTGCAAAACTTCGACCGCATCCTGTTACAACGAAAGTTATAGCTATGTGCTAGATAAAGTGGTTTCCACCTGTCTCCTTGCAATCGCTGAAAGCCTACGCTATTCTTCACGTTCTTGCAGCGGCTCGCCGCTACGGTTGGCGTGTACATCCAGCTACGCATCTGCTAGTAGGTTTTCCCAACCTTGAATGCTAACTTTAAAAATGGTTCACTATGTATTGTCCTTCAAAGTATTGTCCTTCAAAATGACAAAAGGTAGAAGTCCCCATGACAGATATCACAAGTTCCACAAAGTGGCAAATTGGCGGCTGGTTCACAACAAAATGATTACCCACATTAAAGAGGCTTCATTCACAAGCCAAACACCCGCGTAATATCTCATATAATACCACACTTTACGGTTGCAATGCAAACGGACGCCAGGCAGACACCCACACAGACAGACTTACACAAATAAAACTTTCACGACATTGGGGACGAAAATAAACACCTGGCAAGAGAAGACGACCCTTTGCTGAATACGTTGAAGGTACATTCAGCATGCTGTCGTCCGCACGAAGTATCTTCTAGCCCTGTATCTTCACTCAGCGGGGGTGTTTCCAACTCCAACGCTGATCTAGGCATCACACGCACCTGAGCGCTCTATTCCAGAATGCCGCATAATGCTCGACCTGTCGGACGAACATGCAGCGTTCTGCAGTCGAGTTCTCCTGCTTCAGAAATGCCTTCCTCTCAACCCCGCTTTGCATTTACCAAGAGCCGTGGAGCTGTATTCCCCCACCAAATAGAGAGCGCATGGTTGACGAGGTGCTGAATGGCGGTGTTGCTGTCATCGTTTATGCAGGGCTGAACAATAGGCAACGAGGAACCGTCTTGGAGATTAACAGAGGCAGCTCAGCACAAGGTTTCCCTCCTCAACGCATTTAGCGGAAAATCTCCTTCGAAGCGTGACCAATGTGGTGTCGCGCTGTCTTCGGTTTCGACAAGAGGGAGCAGGGACCGCAAAGGGGTAGCTTGCATTAAAAAGCAGCAGACGAGTGCTGCGCTTTAGAGGTACCGCGTTTGAGCAAACAAAGGCCCCAGGGTATCAGACTTCATGGTGACCGCAGGTGCAGCAGGATAACCTAGGGCTGCAAATATGTTGCGGGTTAGGGCCGGTAAGTTATGTGGCCTCTCCCGCTGCACCGCCACACCTCTGTATCAACGGGGAAAAGAAAACCCTGTATAGCTGCCTGCTCTCTTCTTGCCTGCCAGCTGAGATAAGCAAGAGAGGGCAGAGGAGGTACTGCGTCATGCAATAGGTAAATTTAAACAAAACAACCATAATTATCACATTTTCATTGAGAAGTAATCCGGAATAGGGAAGCGGATCACTTGGAGAATTGTCACAAACTTCATTTTAGCATGCCGTTAATTCCCTATGCATGCTTTGGGTGACGCAGCCATGCTAGTCACACTGCATCAAGTCATTTGTTCCTCCCACGCTTCGCGAAAAAAAACCACGGGGCAGCACGTTTTCAAGATACTTTTATTGCATAATAATGCCGGAGGCAGCAAGCGACGTGCTGTGGGGGGAAAAGCGCAGGTGCTTTGCTTTTCCAGGTGTTTCGACATTCCTGCAAGCGGGGCAATCGGGGTTCTAATCAAGGCGGCCACTGGAATCACCGCGCTCCACTGCAAAAGAAAGCGCACGCACAGGACAGATATCAGATCAGCATGCAAAAGAACGCAAGGAAAAGAAGCCGATTCCCCGAGGTTTTCGTCGCCATTTGCACAGCTAGTTGCGTGGGTCTAATTTTTTGTTTTATTACTCCCTCACTCCGCATTCGCTTCAATTCAAGATGGGACTTACTGGTGATCAGCACGCCGAGATGACCCGGCACATGGCCGTTAATATCTGTCACAAGGTCAAACTTCCGTTCGCCGAATCCGGCGTCTGCGCAGAACAAAGATGGAAAACGACAAGGAGCGTCAAAAACGTCTCGGAAACGACAGAGACATTTTGCGTTCTGTACAGACGAATTGAGCAATTGAGATGCTAGAAAAAGAGACGAGCAAACGATTTTCATAGTAATCAAAGGAGAAAGGCATTTCGTCTCACCAGGATTCTCGCCGAATCCACTGACCAAATCCACAAGGTGTTGTTCGATACTAGATCCAATGTTCTTCAAGTTCTGCGGCATGCATACACCCGCACTGTACAGCCTCTAACGATGTGAAACTTCACCTGGAGGAATCAATGCAGTATCATCTGCACACCGAAGAATGCGGAGTTATAGTCCGTCAGCTTCGTCTGACTGACCTCCTCAGTTGGCCACCCTGGTTCGCTCGGCTTCTGCGCAGCCAAACATAACACGGAGCGAAAAAAACTGGCAGATGAAGCGCATCAATACAATTATTAATCCGTCCGAGCTGCGAAACACTGCAGAACCCGTGGGCGGTGTTCTCACCTTTTCATAGATTTGAATATGCCCAGAGAAACCCCCAACCCAGAGCTCATATGTGGCTGTGGAATTCACGCCGCACGCAAGAAAGAAATACAGGATCAATAAGGCCTCTTCAAAACCATACCTAGGTTCTTTAGTCTAGCAAACTCTATACTGCCACCCTCTCTTTGCTGTTTCCACCCCGTCATCTATGTACATTTGTATTTGCATGCAGAGGGATCTCTTAAGTCCACTGCGATTCCAAACAACCACTACAATGACCAACCCGCAACCCGATGAAGCCGCACAGAAACAACACCCAGATAGCCGTAAACACGTCTTTTCATGCAGGTATCTTCGCTGTGATCGCAATGCCCGATATCTCACCGCGGCGGCGATGGGGGCTCGGGTTGCTTAGACGAGAACAGAAACGCATAACGCTTTCCAAATCCCTTCTTGTCTGCACACACTCATCGATTCGCAGAATGCATCCCTTCATGAACAGAGCATGTGCCATGAGAGGCGATGTCTTAAGTGTTGCACTAGCAGAGAACAGCAGCTACTTGAACTCCCGTCGGTACTTCGCGCGCCCCCAGTTCGAACGAGCAAAAGACACGAGCATATAAACAAGAGTTACAACAGCCCCTGAATCGTAGGTTTCCCCCTGTTTGCCGAGGGTTATTTGCAGTTTTTCGGATCTGAAGCATCATGCAAGAAGTACCCGTGGGTTACGAATCCTTGGGAATGGGTACACCGGCTCGTGCGGCCGTCCGCCATGCCTGTGGATAACAGCAGCGAACACATCTTTTACAACTATAGATTCTGTTTCCACTGAAGTTGCAGCTCCTGTTCTAACAAAGAGGTCCGCAGCAGATGCTCCCATTGACTGTGGTGCGATTCTCACCCATGTCTTCCTGGTCCATGGTGATGTCTCGGATCTTCTGGGTATCCCCCGTGTCCATGGTGATGTCTCGGATCTTCTGGGTATCCCCCGTGTC